GGGTGGCAGATGGCCTGGGCCCCCAGCAGGGGCCTAGAATCCAGTGGGGAGGTCAGCGTTCACTGGTGAAGCTCTGGCCACTACTACTCCCTTTGAAATTCACTCCCTGACCACAGGCACAGGATTGGAGAAGCCCATGGAGTCCCCTTAAGATGAGATGGCACGATTTTCTTTCATGAATAATAAAAATGAAACCCACTGTCAATAAAACCAAGGGCTGCATATCCCAAGACACTGTTGACTTGAGGGAGTGGCCACTAAAGGGGAATGCAGAAGGCAGCTGTCTAAAACCCTGCCTTTCCTTTCTCTTCAACTGGTCAAGTACCACTTATTTAACACATTCTAGAAGCTTCTCAACACCATGAAGACAAAAGGCCTCCTGCAGGACACTTCTAGGTCACATGCTGGAGCAGTTCAGATGCTCACTGGGCAACCCTCCTCGTTCCAGGACGCACCTAAGACGGCGCTTGCCCTCAAGCCTCTGGGAACTGCAGGGTCCATGGAGAGGTGGTCAGGCACAGGCTGCAGTGCCGGCTCTGTCCCAGGGCATGTGGTCACCTGGAGAGCTCCTGCCAATGCCTGCTACTCAGCTCTTCAACCTCCCTTCTCAGCCTGTTCCTCATTCTGAGGACAAATGGCCAGTCAGTAGCCAGGCAGGGCAGGCCCACCGTGCTGACTGCTGGTTCACAAGGTGAGTTAGCCCAAGCCAGTTCCAAACGGTCCCTGCCACTTCAGCAGTGGGGTGAATGCCAACAAACAGCAGCCCTGGAAGGCCAGAGGCCCCACTGGGTGCTGTCCCTAAATCCTCTCATCAAAAGCATTTCAGATGCAAAAGCTCCTGGTAGTGAGGCTTCACTACCCAGCTGCCCACTGCGGACAGGCCTCACTCCTGCTGTCCCCTTGCCTTCACCATTTAAGCTAGTCACCCATTTCCTTTCCTTTTCCCCAGACACACATCAGACAGTGCTTTGGTTGGTATTATTCTAGCGAGATCTTTGTTTCCTGTTCTAGAACGTCTCCCTTCAACTCTGCACGCTCTCTCTCTGGTTCTGCACACAGCCCTGCACAGCGCCTGGAGTCTCTTCTCTTGCCTTTGCTTTCTGCACATCCTTCCTCCCCACCTCTAGTGTGGGATTCTGGTGACGAATCCTGCTGTTATTTATTGTGGCCAAGTCATCCAAGCCACCCAGGGAGAATTACTTCCACTGCCTCTAGAGGGCTAGATAGGGTTGGCGTTCCGTGGAGAAAAGGGGGAACTTAAGATTTTCTCCTTCTCAGGGCACAGATTTTGCACAATGAGACCAGGGCTCTGGGAAGGAGGAAAGCAGTGTCCTTCTGCTCTTTAGCCAGGCTCCAGAAGCCGCTCAGCCCACCTCTGCCGAGGCCCCAGAAAGTGGACTCCAGGCCTCGCTGCTCTGCTTCTGCCTCTGAAGGGAGGGAAAGGGACGGCAGCCTGCAGCAGAGCCAGATGGGTTTTCCAGGGCCTGGCTCTGGAGGGCTGCTTGGAAACACAGGCTGGTGCCCAAGCAGCCTGCTCTTCCTGGGGCACAGTGCTGGTGCTTCAGGGTCTCCTGGTACACAGGCACACCCATGAGAACCTGTGTTACTGTCCCCACTCCCTGCCCTGACTGTCCCCCAGGCTGAGGTCACTAAGTGGCCGCCCAGCCTGCTGTTATTTGATGTCAGGGAATGCCTTTGTTCTCTGGAATTCTCTTCTTCCAGAATCACACAGGACTGGGCCTCAGATCTTCAAGGCTGCTGCCAGCCTCTTGAGATAAGTAACAATGCTCGGTGTGGCTGCAGCTAGAGCTTTTACGTCCCTATGAAGGTCAGGAGCATGCAGCTGCCTGCGGCAGAGTCAGGCACTTTTTCAAGAGCTTGGGGTCCTAAAAGGCTTTTTAGAAACTCAAGCTTGTGCCAAGGCAGCCTTGGAGCCTACTTTTCCCAGGCACTGTGTTTGGGCTTCAAGGATCTTCCCTCAATCAGACCCAGCAGACACCTCCTGGCACTTGTGCCATGCACGACACCCCAAAGCACTTCACATGCACCCCCTCATATGACAACCTCTGAGGGGGAACACTGTTCTGAATATCCCCGTTATTCAAAGACACGGAAGCCAGCCGAGTGTTAGGCAATAACCCAGCAGCAGCTGACCCAGGTGGGACGGTACCTGGCAGCCCACCTGGGGGCGGCTGGGGTCAGCACCTCTCTGCACCTCAGGATGGGTGCTTACACATGCCTTTGGCTCCGCGGCATTGCATTCAAGCGAAGGGGGGCCTCTAGAAAAGGCAACCTGGGTAACAGCTAGTGGCCCAAGTTGTCCACACAGCACCTGGGCCCACCCCGGGGTCCTGAGCTGATTCCTTTCTCCCTCGATCTGTGTTCTCAATTCTCAGAGCAGCAGAGGGAGACTCCACTTCCCAGGAATCAGTGTGTGGGCTTCAATGTTAGTTCAAGGTCAGGGCCAAGGAGAAACCCCCTACATAGCTGGGAGACCTAAAGACCCAAAGTCAAGAGCACTTTTACTGCTGCCTTGGCATCCTGGAGGTTTCCAGTGGTGGGCAAATGCCAGGTTCCAAACCCCTCAGTCACTTAAAAAGAGAAAACTCCTGGGCATTTATTTACATTTTATGCCTTTTCCACCCCTCAACTGCAAAATGATAGTAATAAGTTGCGTACTTCAGGTATGCTTTCTGAGGAGGCTTTGATGTATTAATGTGCACAAATTGGCACTCAGAAAACACTCATTAAATAATTACCTAGGCTTTTCACTAACTGTTCAGCTGCTTCTGCACAATGCTCTGAAGATACAATTGTAGCTCTTTCCTTGAATGGACCCACCCCTGGGAAGAGTCCTGATACGGCAAACAAGGAGACAGGATTCCTGAGTTGGGCCAACAAACAGGGGTGGAGCTGAGTTTGCCACAATTAAGAGGAACTTAATGAATGTAGCACAGAATCAAGGAGTTTATTTCATGAGTACAGCAATTAAAGCTGGTCGATAAGAAGTAAGCAGAAGATCGATGATTTGTGGAACTTAACAAATTGCATGCCTTTTGAACGGCACATTGCTAGTGTCACTAGGAAAATCACTAAAATATTTATTTTTATTTGTAGATTTAGAATCTAAAGTCCAAAAAAAAAAAAAAAAGAAAAAAGAAAAAGAAATAAATTGCAAGTGACCTCAACTGGCTCTCAACTCAATACTCCAGCTCAATGGCTCCTGAACTTTGGCACAATGTGGGAATGTAGACTTCCAGGCTTCACCTCACAAAGTCCCACCAGAGGACCTGGGATGGGGACCCGAATCAGACTTTCTACTAAGGTTTTCCAGGTGATTCTGCTCTGTGGGGGCCAAGGGGAGTTCTGGGAAGTGCCTTTGGTCCCAATCAAGGATCAAGGGTCAAAGAGACTGAGGGTAAGTTCATAGCACCTGACAGGACGGGGGAGGCATGGAGCTGCACTCCAGCCAGAAGGGCACTTGGCCTCTAAGGCAAAATGGGGACATTCACTCCTGCAAAGGGTGGAAACTGAGGCATGAATTATAAGGTGAGGCCCATAGGGCAAGCTATGTTTGGTGCATCAGTTGCCAGACAGGGAGCCGTTTCCACCAGATTTAGGATTGGTCCCCAGTAAGAATTCCTGGGACTCACCATCCTCAGGCAGGAAGACCTGGATGGGCCAATGGTGTTTCTAGGGTCAGGGTCCTGGGTGTCAGCACACCAATGTGCACACTTGAACCCTGTCTGGCACTCTCTGAGAAACTCCTCTGCGTGTGTGTCTTTATGTGCACGCACATGCACATAACACGTGCACGCGTGTATTCCTTGGTCCATAAGTCTGAGCCAAGTCTACTATGTGATGCGTGCACAAGGACCCTCAATAATGGGCTTGGTTGATATCTAGGTTCTGCTCTGCATAAGTCAGGATTGTGAACAGGAAGGAGACAGACCAAGCTCTAAGAACGTTCTGGCGTAGTAAGCCCTGGGTAAAACCTCCAAGCTCCTCTGCTTCCTTCCTACTCTGGGCCCTGAACCTAAACCAGTGTCTCTTTCTACATGACAGTGGATTTCCTCATTCACTGACTTTAGAACCTTAGCAGTAAAACAGATGTGACAATAACAATTAGATAAAACCACCAACACAGCCCACTGTGTGCTCCAGGCAGAGTGGAGCCCTGGAGAGCAGGGCTAGCTCTGGTTGGGACCTCACCTGAGTAACTGGTCGATATTTATTCCATCACACACTAAATGGAGGGGGGTAGAGACACCTAACAAGTGTCCTCAATTTTCACTCCTCTACACATTATTATTCCTGAAGAGGCCACAAAATCTGTGCTGTTTTAGCATGGTAACAGCAAAATAAATGTGGTGGCTACTGCTTAATTAAATGTGTAAAACCCCATCATGTAACCAACCACGTGCAATGACAATATTGGCAGAGCTGCCTTGAGTGGGGGGCTATGCCCAGGAAACCCTCACAGACAGGAGGGCTTGTCAGCTCCCACCTGTGGCTCACCCCAGGCCAGACCACCCCTCAGGAGGAAGATGGGTTTCTCTTCCATTGTTCCAACAGGATGGTTGACACGACAGGGTTGTCTTCTCACCCAGCCCATTTTCCCCAGAGCCTCGAATTTAAACATCTAAAAGCCCTCTGTCCATGGCAGGGCCTAGACACCAACTGCAGCGTTCCACAGTAACTTTTTTCGCCTCCCCTGGGCCGGTTTCACGGCCAAGTGACTGACTTTCTTCCCGGGCTTCTAAGGCCAAGGCTTTCCTTCAAGACTTGAATGCAAGGACGACATGCCTTAGGCTACGTTTTTAATTATGAGCTCTCTCGAGAGGCCGCGCCTGCCATGCACAGCTGCAGGACTGGGAACCAACAAACACACCCTCTCTCTCTCTCTCAGGTGGGCAGAAGAGCTGCCTTTCGGAAGGCCACTCGCGTGTCCTAATCCCCCCGGGCGTGCAAATCCAAACGCAAGGCCGAGCTGTACTTACCGCCAAGACGCTCTGGGCCAGGAACCCCACTGCCAAGGCCCCCAGCAGCAGCCACCTGCACGGGAGACGGGGGAAAGAGTGACGTGAATGCGGGCCCCGACTTGTCAGTTTCTGAAAGTTACCTGCAAGGGCCCCCTGCGCCCGGGCGGAGGGAGTAGGCAGAATGTCGCTTACCGCCGCAAGGCAGGGCCAGCTGCCGCGCACCGCTCTTGGCCCATGGTCCCAATCTGTCCTCTCTCGGCTCCGCTCAGTCCCTTCTAGTCTGAAGGCCAGAGACAAAGCGGGTTAGAGAAGGGGTGGGGAGGCAGAGCATCCTCACCGCGGGTCTCAGTCTCCCCGGTGCGCCCCAGGCTTCCTTGTAGGGGTGACCAGAGGCCGCCCCACGACAAGAATGAAAAGGGGGGCCTTCCCCGTAGGCCCTGGCTGGTCCCGCTTGGCCAGACAGCGCGCGATTCCGGTTCCCCGACTCTCTGCCTTCCCACCCCGAAGCAGAAGAGCGCGCGGTTCCAGCCCGCTGGGAGCCCGGAGTCTGCGCCCTGGGGCCTGGGTCTCGATGCCGCCTGGGGGTCGCTCTCACCTCGGGTTCGGTCGTCAGGGGCTGCTGCCTACGCGCATTGGCCCCTCCAGAAGCGCCCGCCGCGGCACAACACCAGCGCCGCTGGCCTCGCTGGGCGCTGGCCTCCGGGGCCCGGGCGTCCGCTCGCGGTCCTCGGCCCGGACCCAAGGCTCAGGGGATCCGGGCGCTAGAGCCCCTGAGTGCAGAGTGTGGAGCACTGGTGCCCCGATTCGCGGCAAGCGCAATTCCCGAGCTGCGCGCTCCCGCCGCCTCTCACCCGCCCTGCAGGGTCCTCCCCTTAGAGACGCCGCCCGCGCCCTGCCTAGGGGAGGGGGCGGCGCCAACAAATTGAGCTCGAGCGGCCGCGCGCAAGTCTCCGCTCCGAGCCGCCGCGCCCGGGACGGTGCGCAGCGCTCACACCCCAGCCCTCCGAGAGTGA